AGACAGTTTTTGGGATTTAAGAGTTCCCCAAGCCATGACCTTGATGTTTGTCTTTGGTTAGTTGTCCCACAGCACAGCCTGCTGGCCATCAACAAACACCATTTAGAATGTAGTAAAAACATTTCAAGTTTTACCTGAAAAAATACAGAATCACAACAAAAAACATAAAAGAGCAGCTGATTAATACCAACATACATGTATTTTCAGTTCCTTCTGGTAAGCTCATATTTCTAACTACTGCAGTTCAGACTAAGTAATTTGGTTCATGTTGGGTGATACTTTGGAAAAAGAAAAAAACACTATAATCAATGTCATTCCACAGTTAAAATAGCCACAAAAAGCCTGTAGATGAATCAACCTCTTATTGCTTAAAATGCTTATGACTTATTTAAAAAGATACAGCTAATTTCATTTAGACTAAATCCTCATAAGAGACTGAAAATAAGAAAATATAGTTGTTTTTAAACTAATTGCGCCTCAGTTAGTGACTTCTCTAAAATGTTTTAGGTTTTACTTTATTTAATATGACGTGTAACCAAACTCATAATACTGCATGATGTCCTGTTTCCCCAGGGTAATAAATATAAGGCCACATGACAACTCCTTCTCAGCCACTATTCAAAATGGGACAGATATGACTGCATCCTCTTCAATTAAAGCAGATGAGTGTAAGTTTACAGAAGTCAAGGGCATTCTTACACTTGCTTAAATCACCAATTGAAATATAGAAAAAGTTTAAATAATATTGATGAAGGGAGGGAGCCAGATAAAATGATTGAATAACCCCATTATTAAGTATATTATATCAGAAACATGGCTGACTTTAGGCTATTTTTTTCAGCATTTAATTCGCATATAAAAACAACATCTATGGAAACAACTACAAAGGAGCAAATGTTGCTTGCAATATTATATTAGGATGAAAGATAAACAAAAAAACACAAAATCAAATATTTTAATATGATAAGATTTTCATTCAGGATATGGATAAAAGGTTTTAATACATTCTGGCCGCCAAAATGATAAGATGTGTGCAGTCTGCAAAAGGAAATTATTATTTTATAAGTAAACAATGTCACAAAAGGTATATTTAGAAAAACAAACATAATAACCACCACTATTAAAAAAAGATAATTCCCCCAACACTTATATAAAAATAAATCATGATTTAAACTATATTTTAGCAATTTGAAATTGGGAAGATCAACCTTTTGGACCCTTTTTAGGACCTTCAAGTCTATCACACAAGCAGTCGTTTCCACTTCTTAAACCTCCATCTTGGGCTTCTGAGAAGAAGCTGGAGTACCAGCAGTTAAAATAGAAAGACCCTGGTTTACACTTCCCATCTTGTATCACCTAAAACCATTTGAATCCTTAAATTTGTTTAGAGCAGTCCTTCCCACCCCACCCAGGATAACACCTGCACAGAAACTGAGACTTCATTTGCTCTAAACTTTGGGCATCCATCTGCCCTAAAACACTGTAGTTTGTCCCTCCAGCTGGTTTCTTCTTGGACAGGATCTTCCATGACGTGGAGTCGAGGTGGAGGTAGGCCTTTGACTTTGGGTCTGCCCTCTGACATCTTCCCCTAGAGGAGCATAAAACCTGACTGCAGAGAGCAGCGGCTGATGTCACGTTGACCAGGTAGGGACCTAAAGTCTCATCAATATAGAATTTGACTGCTTCACAGGTAGCCTATACAACACAAACAGCACACAATTTAAAAAAAATCCTCAGTGTATTTAGTTACATGTGTCTTGTGGCATCAACTGACCAGATAAAACAATTAATATAAAGAAGGTGAGGTGGCATGTGATAAACAAAATAAACCAAATTTTTATGAGAGTAATTATGAGGGAGTAACCCAAGTCATATGGAACACTCAGGGTCCAAAGTTTTAGTTCTGACTGTATGTTTAGGTGTTTTAATACCTTTTTTTTTGTTTGTTTTACAGCCTAAGGAGGGTTCTCTTCCAGAATCTGGTGTTATTAACCTCCACTTGTCTTCAAGTCAACACTGACAGCATTACACCAGGATTCTCTAATATCATGCATTCTTAACAGGTGCCTTTATATCCATAAAAAAAAAAAAACAATAACTGACCTGAATTTGATCCCTACGTCTATCTAAAGTAAGGTTGAATTACTTCAGCTCTCTATAGAGTTATAACAGCCATCTTACCTTAGATTTATCAAAAGTATGGTCCCCCCAAAGCACCACCCCTGCAGCTCCTAAAGCGGTACTCTCTCCAACAGTGTAGATTAGATGCTCCTAAGGGATGAAAACATTTAATTTTTTTAATTTTTTAGATAAAGAAGAAATGTTTGAGGGTATTAACCCGTCACTAACCTTGGAAAGAAACTCCAAGGAGTAGGTGTAGACAATGCGGGCATAGGGAAAGATGGGTAGTTGGGAAGGGGTCACGTAATCCGCCGCTCTCAGGGCCTCCAAAATGCGGTGATGAACATAGAGAAGAACTTCCTCACCGAGGCCTCGCATTTCGACGCTCAAGTAGATGTCAGGGTAAAGAGCCGTGGAGGCGTTCCACAGCCAGAATAACTCATCGTTCCTTTTTATCTCCAAATCTGGACACTTCCCTGTGTAGTTTTCGCTCTTATTGTAATGGTTGTAGCAGTTGGGAAATCCATAAAATCCCCACAAACCATTTGGCCTCATTTTTTGTCCCAGTTTCTGGGTTTCCTCCATGAATTGCCTTCCAAATTGCTCAAACTCGACACGTGCTGCTGCCTCCACCTGAGCAGGAGTCCAATCTGGATGCCTGGACCTCACCAGTGCAATGGAGCCCTCCTTGTACACCTTTTTACTGTCCCAGTTTCTCTCCCACACAGGGCGCCAGCTCTCCCAGTCCACCACAGCCAGGCCTTGGAAGTCTCTTTTAGGGATGTAATGGTCTATATCTTCAGTGCTGACTCTGAGGTGTGTCTCTAAGCTGCTGTTCTGTGGAACCCCACCGTTGATGGCCTGGCCCTGGGCAGAGTACCTTGGGTACAACCCAAGCTTGTCAGTGTAAAAGATAGTGATGTTTTCACCCAAGAAGGTTTGATTCTGGTTCTGGACAATGCTAAACATCCCCAAGTCGAGATCCACTCCATACTTGGAGAGGCAGTTCTCAGTGGGGGCATTCCACACAGTGAGAAATGGCACCTGTGTAAAAGGAGAGGCAACCTGCAGCCCTGAAGTTAGACTGAGGAGACCAAAGACGAGCAGCACCTCCGGGTGAGAGGAACTCATGGCTAAAAAGGGGAACAAAAATTGCAAGAAATTTGCTAAATCATCAAAAACAAAATGTCAAATTAATGCTGCTGCACTCCTGCTTTAGAATGACGCAGTTTATGTTCAAGCATACATACAATAAGCGGTGAATTTGCAGTAAAACTTGTAGATATTTAACAGAAAAGAACTGCCATAATGGTATCCAATAGTATAAAATTAGGCAAAAAAAAAAAATTTGCATTTATCAAAGGAGCAGCCAAGAGTCCCATGGTAGGTCTGGAGGAGCTGCAGAGATCCGCAACTCAGGTGAAAACACTGAACACTGTAACAGCATGATGTAACATGATGATGGCATTATCATTGTCGTAGTTGTTCCTTAAAAAAACAGGACAGCTGTAAAAAGATGATGGATGGGTAGAACTCATTATAAGAGAATTCTGGAAGAGAAACCAGAAAGAAGCTGCAAAAACAAGCCTCTATAGCATAGAATTGTGTCCTGATAGATAGATAAATTAATCCTTATGGAAACACCAACGTTTCCTAGTCAAACTCCCAAACTAATTTCAAGGAAGATCTTGAGTGTTGTCTAAAAACATAAGTTGGGTTAGGCAAGAAATGAGAAATCAGGAAAGCAGCAAAAAGCCCCATTGTTACTCTGATTTAAAGCATGTGTAAGCATGTTCAGGTGTAAGAGGTAAGGCAAGAGTTTACACATACACTGAATTGCAAAAAAAACTTGGTAAGACTTGTAAACTGATTTAAAACAATGGATGATTTCATACACAGTGAAATAAGCATGTTTAGCAGAAAATCTATAGCTGACTTGTATTTGTATTGGAAAAAAACTTACCCAGTGAACAACCTTCAAGAGGTTCTAATTTGTGGTTTGCTCACCATAGGTCTCATGACCGGCTGGGACAGGGAGGGAAACAGCATGGAAAGGGGAAGTGAAAGAAGAAAACTGGAACCAATCCGACAAAAGCACAAGATTTCTACCAACAAATGAGAAGAGACATGCAAATCCTGTAAAAGCGGCCTTTTAAAGTCACAGGCAAGAAAAAAAACCAATCAAGCCATCCGGTTTCTGCTACAGCTTCTAATATAAACACATAAACATAACTAAAAACTGTTTATTGAAGCAACCTGGGGAGGTCACAGGGTCTGAGGAGACAATCAAGAAAGCCATAATGAACTCCTACACATCCAAATTCATATGTAAGCTTTGCTCAGCTCATTAAAGTAGTATAAATAACTTTTGGCTACCAGCACCCTGTAATTACAAAAGGACGGAGTAAGAGGCTGCTGCATGTCTGGGAATAGGCACGGACTTTCCTGATGAACAAGTCACAAAGACAACCTATAGACACTTCACTTTTATTAGCAAATTTCTAACTTTAATTATTACAAAAATCAGACCTAACATTGACGCTTCCAGTGATTTATATAAGAAACTACACAGGCTTAAGAAAAACACTTTATTTACAAAGACAATTCGGAAGAAAACAGCGTGTATTCTGACAGGTGTATAAGCTAAATTATTTTCCATTATTAACCACAAATGAAGTTCATGTACTGGGCTTTGGAGGTCAAGAAAACACACATACACTATCTCTAGTATAAAAAGGCATTAGTAGTCATGATTTAGAACTAGAAATCACTAAAAAATACATTCAAATAAATAGTATTACTCCATTGCCTGCATGAAAAACAGACACCAGAGAGTGGTCACATTGGGAAAAATAATTAAAAAAATCTAGCACTTCTGGTACGTTGTGCTCCAAGTTGATTTAAGTGCTTTATTTCCACACTGGCCACCCAGTAACAACTTTGGTTCTTCACTTCATTCAACACATTTAAAACAGAAGCCTCAGATCTCCGAGGGAAATGAAAAATCTGACACCTTGGGAAACAGTAACCAAGGTGGAAGCAGAGAGCATAATGTAAACAGTTTAATTTCCAGCGAGCCCTCTGCCGTTTAAAAAAACACTCATAATTTATAAACAGAAATCTCTTTTCAGTCCCATTGTTTATACTAGTTAGACTTTCTGTCAGGAAGGTTTTGCAGCAAAAAAAAATACTAATCCCTCTTGGTGACCGCATGTACTAATCTTAACATCTTCCAATTTTTCTTTTCAGTATTTATGGAAGATGTGGCATACATTTGCATTGTGTGCGTTTCACTTGGTTTCCCCTTAAAGGGGCATTTGCTATGTACTATTTGACATATCTCTAGTAGCTCTCTGTGGTGTCATGCAAAGGTTTTCAGAGTAAATTATAGCGCCAGGTTGGCTTATTTTTGTATTTCTGTTTTACATTTTGTTTTGTCTGCATTTGTTATTGCACTTTGTCTAATGTAATGAAGCAGAACAAGCCAGCAACACCAGCCAGAGGCGTGAGACGAAATAGGAAGAATTTAAGATCAAATGTAGAAAAAAGTGGAAAAAAAAATACTGCATGCCAAGGAGAAGACAACCGCAGTCCTGGGATGACAATAAGAACATTGGTGTTCACTAAAGTGAGAGCGTTGATATTTCACTAATGTTTTTCAATATCTGTCATTGTTCAAGTTTTAATTTGGTAATTTAAGCTGTGGACAGATGCCCTCCTACAATGTTTATGTCTGCTGATTGTACAAACTTTTTTGGGCTGTAAAAAAGACAAAGTATACATCATCAGGATTGTTATATTTAAAGATACTTTTATGGGGTTTTTTTTTGTTTTGTTTTTTATAGTCATAGTATGTGATCAATCCCCGTTAAAACTGCAACTAACTACTTTCAGAAGTCAGCAGGGTGTAATTTAATCTCTGTATACAGCGCTCACAGGTTTGGTGGAGAACAACAGTGACAAAATATCATAACGAACACCAAGAAAAAGCAGATTGGTCAGCGATATAGATGTGGTAAATTTTAAAGCAACTGTGTGATTAGAAAAAATATCCAAGATCTCTCCCAGCAGTATTCAAATAATTTTTAAAGGTAAAAAGTACTGCAAATCTACAGGAAAGTGTGGTGGCTTGCTTCTCTGTTGAAGCCATCATTCTGAAAAATAGATTTACATCTTAAATAAGAGAATATGTTGGTAGGAAACTATTAATAATGCTTGGAACTAATCTGGTCTTCATGGAAGAGTGGCAAAAAATATATTATCATAAGTCTTGTTTGTGGTTTTTTTAATCCTTACAAGTGACACAACAAACATGTGGAAGAGGACACTCCAACTGGGACTCTAGAAAAACATCCCCGCTATGGTAAAACATGGCACTGGCAGCATCATGCTGTGGGGATGATTTTGTTCACCAGGGTAAGTAAGTATTTAAGTTTATTGGAAAGTTGTAAATTCAAAGAGATGGTGGGAGAAAAAGCGTGTTGGAGGCTGTGGCAGGGGAAGATCTCCGTAAACAGTCAGTGAAAAACTATTTTATGTTGTCACAAAAAAATACTAATAAAATAGCCTCCTGTTTTTGGCACAGCAGAATGTGAAAATTAAATGAAATAAATAGGAAGTGTATTTGCAAATATGTGTTTGGCATTAACACAGGAGCACAAAGGCTATAAGAAACATTACACACAGCAACAATGGTGTTCTGGTTTTCGGCGCCGACCCTCTCTGGTGCAGAGGGTCGCTGTGATTACAAGCCTCCCCCTTAAAGCCCCTGTAGCACTGGCACTGAAAGTCTTTTTCAAAAAGTACTTTATCTGTATCTCCCAGCTCACCGATGACCGAATATTTGCCATTTTGTCTCTCGATTCTGTGTGTGACGGGGTTGAGGTGAAGGTAAACATCACTGTCAGGGTGTTTGCGCAGACAGCGGCCGTGGGAACCACACAGGGTTTGGCTGCAGAGCTCTGCTGCTGTGGAGACATTGAGGAGGTATGGACTCAGCGTGCCCTGGAGGTACTTGTTCAGGTCAGAGCAGGTGGTCTAAAGAGAGAGAAAACTATTTACATTTAATAGGCAGGGACATTTTAAATCATAACTATCAATCATCATTTCTTTACTCGCTATTAGGTTATCATAACAGAGATATTAAAAAGCAATAAAGTTCTGGAGCATAAGAAAATAAAATGACAAAAATCTAAAGAAAACATATATGAGGGATATGAGACAATAAAAAATCCAGAAAAATCCCATTGTAGGACTTTTAAATAACTTGTATGCAAATCAAGGTGGAAAATAAGTATTTGGTCAATAACAAAAGCTCAACTTATTACTCAATGCTTAGTGTTTTTGTCTTTTGAATTTAATGTTCATTTCTATAAAGTATTAATGAATAATATCAGGAAAAAAACTCTTATTTTTTGTTTTGGTGTATTTTTAAAGGGGGAAAAAGCTCTAGATAGACATCTAGATTAGTGAAGTGTGAATCTTTAATTTTAAACCTATCAACAAACTCACAGCCAAAATACACACAACGGATATATATATATATATATATATATATATATATATATATATATATATATATATATATATATATATATATATATATATATATATATATATATATATATATATATATATATATATATATATATAAACTTTGTATGTGATATCGTCTTCCTAAGCCCCCCAAATTATGCTCGAACCTCTGTCTATTGGAGCTAAGGCACTAAAAAATTTACATTTACTTTCCATAACAAGACCAGTGCAGGTCTTATGGTTATTACATTATTATTAGTATTGCTCTAGTATAATATTACATGCACAATTAGTGCATGTAATATTATACTAGATGCATGTTTTATCTGATTGCATGCCATGGTATCAAAATGTTTCTCCCTTGTGGTGCAACTATCACATAAAGAAAATGGCCACGCTGTAGGCATGTAGAAATCAAACATAAGAAATAATGAGACAATCTTCAATTAATATTGCACAATAAATGTTCACCCTGTATTCGTTTCCCTTAAAACTACAAGCAATGGAGACTTTGAGTTTTTCTGTATATGGTTATCAGAGATCAGGGAAAACATTTTGTTAGGTATTTAAATTTCTTTCCCAGAACAGATCAGTAAATCAAACATTTCTACTTGCTGTGTCACAGCTTGTAATCCAAAGCACAAAAAGTATGTCTGTGCCAAATGTTGCCCGTGCACAATCTTGGAAGAAGCCCCTCAGTTGATGGGTTTTACATTCAAGCCCTCTGTTCTGCTGGGTGAGCACAGATGTGCAAACAGCAGACATGAGGGAGGAGATAGAGATCTGAACTTTGCACAAGGTTTTTATAGCCCACATAACTGCAAGTTGTCCCAGACTGATGTCTACACACCCTCTAACTAAAAGCAGCCCCAAAACCATCCATAACACAGCAAAATAAGGAAAAGTGGCACAGGTAATCACTTCTTCATAATTCTATAGGTCTATGATTTCCTCCCTTTGAAATAAGTTTCCTGTTTCCACCTTTTGCAGCCATCACTAAAACTTTAAGGTTCCTTCAGACAACTTTCTTCTCTGTATCTGCAGAGCAGATGTCTTAGACTTCTAGTATTTACTTGAGCAACTTTTAGAATAATATGTACTATTAGGAGTAGTTTTACTTTACTGCACTCTTTTATGTTTAATATTCTTGGGAGAGTACAGCTACTCTTAGTTGAGTAAAATGTTACTCTACCCACACCAGAGTAAGTTTGGTTATCTGGAGATGATTATTGTCACTGGAAGTAATTTAGCCTTTGCTGACAATAATATGCTTTACCTGCTGGTATTAATTTTTATGTTGAAACATTTGATTTGGAAAAGTGTTTCTTTTGTTTGAATGTGTCATGTGGTAATCATTCCATATTATACTTTGGAACACCAGAATTTGCATATGAATCTCTCTTAAATCATTTGAAAAAAAAAAAAAAAAGATTTTATGAACAATTACTCAGTACTTGAGGAGCCATTTGATGAGGAACTGTTTACTTTTCATTTGATGATTACTTTCAATTTTTACTGGATGAACAAAAGTTAGTGCTACTCTTACTTCAGTATATTTGTTGGTATTCTATTGACCTGGAGCCCTGAGTTTCAAATTACTTCACATGTGAGAAACAGTCACAGGATCATTATCAAATCTCACAAAGAAAACAGTGTTGGGCAAAATTTTTAATAAATACTCAACTTTCTCACTTTTTGTAATATTACGGCTCTAAACTTGAATATATTCAATAAGGTTAATGTGATAAACCAAAGCAAAATAACCATAAAATAAAAGGGACATTGTAGATCATTTTAAAACTATCTTTAAACTAGAAAAGCACCCTGAGAGCGCAGACCTCCAAAAAGCAGCCAAAATTTAACCCATCCCCTTGGGGAGCAATGGGCTGTTGCATTATTTGTTCCACCAAGTAATGTTAAAGAATCCTTTAGGAAATTCCTGCATCCAAATTATGATGTGATGGATTGTCCCTTTGACTGAGATTTACATTTGGTAAAAATGTCATTAAAATCCGTTGATAACTTTTCAAGTTATCTTGATACAGACAGACAAACAAACCAACAAACACACAAACTTCATGAAAAAGCGGATGTAATAAAAATAAAACAACTGTGATATGGATCTGTCCCCTTTACTCCAATACCCCAATACCATAAATAAAGTGTTGTTAAAGGCACCCAGGGAACATGGCTGACACTTTATAGAGATATAGTTCTAAATATTTTATTTATAGTACGGCCTGGACTGAAATCTACTTCATAATTATGGCAAGACTTGAAAATGAAAGCCCATAAATTAATGAAATAGCAAAGCATTTCAAAAAAGAAAAACATTTTATGTATTTCATCCACTTCATCGTTGAATTCTGCTTTGAGTTGATCTGAAAAATAAAACTCCTTAAAAAGCGACTCACATGTGAGGTTGGAGGTATTGAGTGAGCGGATTATTACCTTGTTGGTTGTATATGTTGCATCTCCCCACAGGATAATCCCTGCTGCTCCCAGAGCAACACTCTCCCCAATGGTGGACACAAGGTCAAACTGAAAAGAGGATCCAGCTCTTAAAATGCACAAATCAACAAAACTGTTTCAAAATAAAAATAAAACTGTCATATAAGATTTTATTCATCCTCTTTCTATTTTTATGGGTAATGAGGCAGGTTTTCATCGTAACTAACACCCTTCCTGGCAGCTGATGTGTGACTGCTACCAAAACAGGAAAGGACTGTGGCTGCCGATAAGGAAAGCTGAACTGATGTAGTGCCACTTAGCATGAGTAGGATCTGTGATTGAAATACTTTTTGTTTTAAGGGATGAAAAAAGTGCCTAGTGTTAAGTTTCACTTACAGGACACTATAAAAGAGGATACAAAAAGTTTCTACATCTTAAATCAAACTTGTCAGCAAGAGAGGTTAAAAGGGGGCAGTGTCACCTCTGTCAGCTGTTCCAGGGAGTTGATGTAGGTGGGCCGGGTGTACACAAAGACAGGACGTGCCAGCCCATCGCCGGATGAAGCTAAACGCATCCCTTCCTTCACTCGGTTCCGCACAAACTGCCGTCCTGAGGAAGAGGAACGCAGCACTGTTCCCATGTATACGGAGGGAAAGAGGGCCGTGCTCTCAGACCACAGCCACCTCAGATGATCGTTGCGGGTCACTTCCACATCGGGGCAGCGGCCCGTGTAGCTGTCCAGAGAGCGTAGGTAGTCGTGGTTGTAGCAGTCTGGGAACAGGTAAAACCCCCACAGCTGGTTGGGTCTCAGGTGTTTAGCGTGCCTGAGCGTCTCAAGCATGAACTTCTTGGCAGACATCTCAAATTCCTGCTGGGCCACTTTTCCCACCTGCTCCTCAGACCATGTTGGGTTCTTCTGGCGCACCAGGTCACGAGAATGCTCGCGATAGATATTTTTGGCTCCCCAGTTTCGTATCCAGAGAGGCCGCCACTCTTCCCAGTCAATAACTGCTAAACCTACAGCCTCTTGGTTTGGTATGTAGTTATTAACACCTTTCTGCATTTCATTGAGGTGCTGAGAGAGAGAGACAACCTGCGGCAGCCCCCCACGCACTGGTCTTTCACCTCCCTCAAAGTAGGGGTACAAGCCCAGGCGGTCCTGATAGAATATGGTCAAGTTCTGCCTGACAAAGGCCTCATTTGGGGTGGCAACGATCTGGAACTGGTCCAGCTGGAAAGATACGCTGTGCCAGGGGCCACATTCCTGCGTTGGGACATTCCAGGCGAGGAGTAGGGGCTTTTGGGAGAACAGGGGCCATTTCGTGGGCTTCACTCCCAAAGCACAAAGACCATCCCACAGCAGAACCATCAGGAGTGGTACTCTCCAGTCACAGAAAGCCCAGTACAACATGTCTTTAGATGTGTCTCGACAGAACAGAGTGTCCCTCTAGAATTTAGAAAGGAGAATTTAGGGTTAGAAATTCCTGAAGTGGAGGCCATTTCTCTACATACATTGTTTGCAACACAGCATCACATACTGTTTTATATCTAACAGAGCTAACAGAGTAAAATAAAAGGGAGTTTTCAGATTATGTATTTATTTAAAAATGGGAAAACTAACCTTTTTTTTTTCCAGAGAAAGAACATAATTCTTTAAATTACATGTAATTACCCACTTGTTTAGAAATAGGTTTAAGGGGCAAAACTGTTATATAGGGCACAAAGGGGAAGTCCTTCAGTAAAAATGTATCTGCATATAGTGTTCGGACTGAAAGATTCACATTTTAATAAAAAGCACTTTAAAGGACAAGTTAATTACTAGTACATTATATTTAAATATGAAAATAGGAATCGTACCAAATTTAGTGTACAATAACATCCAAACTTGTGAAAGTAAAACTTTTTTTACTGAATGGGAACATATTCAGACTGTGTGCTTTTGCAGTTCTTTAGTGTGTAGAAAAAAGGTTAGAAAAGCAAACTTGAGAAAACAAAAAACATCCACATATCTTCCACTCATACAAAAAAATACTTTGCAAATCTATTGCCTTTAACGCACACACACACACACACACACACACACACACACACACATATATATATATATATATATATATATATATATATATATATATATATATATATATATATATATATATATATATATATATATATATATATATATATATATATATATATATATATATATATATTTGATTTTTAGAACAGTGTGAACTTCAACAACAGCCAGTAAAGGACTAGTTTGCATGCAGATGGATGAACCTACCTTTAACAGAAAACTGGGGAATCATTCCCATAAAAACACAGAAACTTCAAACACGTTTTAGCGTCTCAACAAAAAATAACAATTTTGCTAGCACTGGAGAAAAAAAAAAGAAACTTATAAAGTAGAACCAGTGCTGTATCATGTTAGTTCAGCTCCCCCTGTCCTCCCACGGCCACTACAGCGGGGCTGAAGTGAACTTACCCCCCGCGATGTTGTCATTTCAAACTCCTTCTTCAGTCAGAACAGATCAACCCATTTCCAGGATGTTCCATTCTGGTCGGGAAAGGGGGGTGCCTCTCCGGACATCCTAATAACTCAGCAAGCGCCATTAACGACTTCATTACAACAGGGTTACTTCATGTTGCAGCTCCTCTCTCTGATGAGTCGGAGCAAGGACCTCAATCTGGTCGTTTTATTATTAGCCTTGTGTTTTATTCTAAAAAACAGTCATGATATCCCTGTTTAGTCCGCAATGTTTCAGTCCGACAAGTTGTCCAGCAGGAGCGCTGAAACAGATACACTAACCACCAAGATCCGCGCCAGGACAGCTTGCCATGTCCTAAAATAAATTCACTAATGACATTTCAGAAACATTATATCCATCAGTGCACATGGGAACAGTTGACTCCTGAGTTTTAACGCTTAAACTGAACGATTTAGATACTTCTAAACAAATGGGTTAGCCATGAATAATAATGTTGTGTTCTGACAAACTGTAAATTGTTACAATCTACTTAGTTTATTAAGGTAGAAACGTTCATTTAATAATGTAAAAACGACAAATCTGAGCTGTCTATATTTCTTAACTACTAGGGCCACTGAAAAAATAAAAAAAAGTGATTTTTTACTCATTTTTCAATATTATTTCAGTTTAATATGGAAAAAAAGTCAGAATTCTGACTTTTTTTTATCAGAATTCTGACTTTAATCTTAGAATTCAGATTTTTTTTCTTAGAATTCTTTCTTTTTTTCTCAGACCTGTGACTTAAATCTTAGAATTCTGGCTTTAATCTCAGAATTCTGACTTTTTTCTCAGACTTCTGACTCCAATCTTAGAATTCTGATTTCAATATTAGAATTAGAATTGAAGGCGACATTTTAAAGGGAAAAATCTGTTACGGTCTCTTCTTCAGGGCCGTGCAGAGACCACTGAAGGGGCAGGTGCTCAAAAAAAAAGGGCACATCTTATCACATTTTAGGACAGAATATTAACAAAGTCACATAGCTTTCAGAGTTTAATGAACAATGATAAATTACAAAATTGTGCGACATACAATCAAAGCCAAGGGAAATCTCTACATAGAACATAGAACTATGCATATGTAAAATATTTTAATAGTAATTTCTTTCTGCAGGTCTGTTTTGTTATAGGAAAGTATTACAATATTCAAACCTGCAATTTAGCCAATCAATCAAGCCAAGGTCAGAGCTGGACCACCAGACATATTTTGTCTTTACAGAATTAAACTGTTAAAAATGCATACAAGGGCACAATGCAACCTTTTAGTGTACTGTAATCTATAAAAAAGAATGTCTGCCTGGTTTGCTGTACTGACAGTGGAGATGGAGACGGTCCATTCAGAAAAGCAGAGCTGCTGCATCAAACTTTAACTAGAACTGCAGAAAAAAAAGAACAAAACAAACATTTTATTAATGCATGTCACCATGAGAAAAGCCTACTCTGTTTGTGTCTTAGTGTATTTTGTAAGTACCTATATACATTTTCTTCAATCTTTCCTCTTCGTTTTTTCTTGTCAGTTTCTCTTTTCTTTTTTTCCTCATTGTCTCATCTTTTCTGTGTTGAGTGAAGGTCAATGTCTTATTTATTTGAGTCTCTTGCCTTTCTTTTCCCCCCAAACTAAATCCAAGATTATGATCCAAAAATTATTTTCCGTCATGGTGATTTAACTGTTTAAAAACAAATTTCCAACTTTTAAGCATTTTTGCTATTTTTGTTCTCTTTTGTTCACAGCAGCAGTTTTCTGTTAGCCATGTCTTTAAAAATGTTAATAACCTCACTGTGAATGATTGGCACATCCTTCTTGATTGCCAACAAAAGAAGGTCTGACAACCGATCCTCCTTGCATAAGCTGCGTAGTTTTGTTTTCACCAGCTTCATACATTATATCTATCATATCTATCATGGTAGTTCTGGATGAGTTCTCCTTTAAGATACATTTACCTAACGCTAGAATAAATGAAATGTACATCATGCAGCAAAGGAAATTAGAAAATCAGACATATATCCATTATGGAGATGATAGGTTTTTGACGGGTGATGTGCCCCTATTGCATAAGTAATACTGAAGAATGTCCTATTATCATTAACGACACAGGGAAGCTTTTTAGTTATCTTGCTTTGCTAGCAAAGTCATTAGCTAGCAGCTAGCTCATAGCACAAGAACAACAGCCTAATGTCTGTATGATAAAAATACTGAATCGATAGATAAGAACAGCTTTTCCTCACCTGGCTGTCTCCTCCCGCTCAGTAGTTCTTCAGAGAAAGGCGCGCCGCGTCCTATACTTTCCTCCGTTTAAACCGCTACTCTTTGCAAAAGTAGAGAAATTATACAACGTTCAAAGTTTTCCATTGTCTGACAAGTAGGAAGCCTACTCCAGTATTTTCACCAAAAATTATGTTTTTTAATTCACAAAAAAACTGTTCTATAATCATTACAGAACATTTTTTTGTGAATTAAAAAACATAATTTTCAATGTAAAAGACTAAAAGCACAGAGTAAACAGTGTTTTAGATCAAACAATACTGCATCATCCATGGGGCTCATGGTTTCACTTACATCTCTATTCAGGTGGATATTGGAGAGGCGGAGCAGACTGAAGACATAGCCATCCGTCCGATCATGGTTGATCTTGCTTAGGGCCAAATGAGCAGCGGCCACAGTGTAATGTGGAATATTCGCTACCTTTAGCTCCGCAGTTAGCCGCCTTATCTGACTGTGCGAGAGGCAAGTGCGTCGTCACCGGCAAAAGGTCAAAGGTAACAATGTGACCGGAGGGCTTATTGTATTGTTTTTCTTGCCAAAAAAAAAATATAATAATAATAATTTCAGTACATGTGTCAAATAAAAAAAATTAAAATAAATAAAAAAAATAAATAAATAAAAAAGGGACCAAAAGGGCACATTGGGATCATGGAGCAAAAGGGGCAGGTGCTCAAGCCCCCTTAGCCCCCCCCTCTGCACGTGCCTGCTCTTCTTTAAGTGCAGGTCATAGTATCACATTCCAAAAAAATTATTAAAAAAAATAAAGAAAACGTTCTTTTAAAAAAGGGTAATTGTACTTGGTTTGAACTAATAATAATTAGTTTCAATAAATAATGATGATGATTTGCCAAAGGAATTAGTATATTAACTGTTAAAAATAAGATAATCAATATTAATTAGATAAACAATGTGTACTTAAGTTTTTTTTCTTATTTTAAACATAAATCATCTTATTCAGATGGCAAATTACCTAACTTACCTGCTGAAATCATGGGAAAATACATTTATTTAAAAATAAATGTATATATATTTCAATTTTTTTGCAGTGTATGTTTTCAGCACAAGAGTCATGTCCACCTCTGGCCTCCGTCTAGGACCCCCAATGTATCCAACCTTTTACAATCGTACCACCTGTGTTACAAAATGTGTGTAACTGTTTTAATTTGTGCTCAAAATGTGCTGAACAAAAATAACACCAAGTTTTGGACCAGAGTCAGTCACTTCATTTGGATAGGATTAAACTGATTTCAGATTAAGTAAAAAAAAACGTGGTGATATTTTTGATCAGGACCTGTCATTTAAATCCCTTATCAAATAGTTTTCCAGAATTTGCTTCTTTCATCTGCGCAATATTGCAAAAATTAGAATCCTCTCCAGAGGTGATGCTGAGAAACTAGTCCATGCATTTGTTACTTCAAGGTTGGGCTATTGTAATTCGTTACTATCAGGAAGTCCACAAACTGTAGCTAAAAGCCTTCAGCTGATCCAAAATGCTGCAGCCAGAGTTCTAATGAAAAAAAGAGATCACATCGCTGCCATCAACACCTTTGTTTATAGATGTTGGAGATCTGCATGTTTTTCAGTGGAGTCCTGTTTCTATGACCGTGACTGGCTGGATGTGCTCTCTTCATCTTCTGACATGGGAGCTGGCTCGGAGCTTGTCTGCCTGGCTGTGTGTTTCCTGGATGGGGCCGCCTTTTACAGCTGCTTTTTGTATCTCTGCTTCTGTCTCCTTGAACTACAGTCGGCCTCTGCAGATGGCCGCTCACACTGAGCCTGGTTCTGCTGGAGGTTTCTTCCTGTTAAAAAGGAGTTTTTCCTCTCCACTGTCGCAACAAGCATGCTTAGTGTGAGGGATTGCCTTTGAGTCAACAATCGATGCAATCAACTGGGTTTCCTTAGATAGAAACTTTGAATCAATTTGACTGTATGATCTAATGAACTGTAAAGTGCCTTGAAATGACATGTGTTGTGAATTGGCGCTATATAAATAAACTGAATTGAATTGAATTTAAACACAGAGCAATAAATAGGTGTTTTACCATGGTCATACAGGTAATATTTTACAGTAAACAAGTTAAATTAAACAGTTTATTTACAGTTTATATATTTATATAGCGCCAATTTATAACACATGTCATCTCAAGAAGCAGAGACGGTTCAAAGTTTTCTTTCTAAGGGAAACCAGATGATTGATGCAATGTGAAAAATATAGTCCCTCTTTGACTGCACGCTTGGAAACATGCATTAACACAATTCACACTGCTTCCTTCTAATTGAATACAAATAATCAAAGCCTTTATTCTCACCACAAACAATTAAAGATTAAAAACTGGTTAGAGGCTGTTAAAAAAATAAAAACTTTATTAACATCTCATAACTGCTGCTCTTAAATAATCATTGGTTAAGTTTCCTCACTGCTTTTGTAAGCATTTAATAATTTGCGAGACCACCTCAAAGCCATCTACAGTCCTATTCAATAAATAGATAAGTTTTAATGAGGCCAGTTTGTCAGCTTAAAACCCTTTTTAGATAGCAAATTAAAAGTTCTTTATCAAACAAAAAGGCTTAATGACAACAGTTTGTAGGGGTTTTATCTATATGATGTGTTGCACTTAGTTAATTGAGTTACTGAAATAGATTCACTTCAATAATATTCTAATTGAGTGAATATAAAAGAATGTAAACAGGCTAAATGTATTTAAATA